TATGTTACTAGCTATTCAAGAAGCAGAAATGGAAGAAGATGTTTGCATAGACACACAGGAGAAAGCAAAATATATAAGCACTCAAGTTTAGGTCATATATGTGCATAATCATCATGTAACAATAAAATAAAAACAAGGAATATCTCTCAGAAACTTAAAAGATACTTCAAACGAATAAAAAAATAATTAAAAGCCACTTTGACGTATGTGCACTCACCTTAGCCGCTTTTAATATGAGTTCTTTCTCAATCTCCGATTGCCTCATTTTGTCATGCTCTCCAAGTCGCTGAAGAAATCGCAACTGCTCTCGAACATTGTCCGTCTGTACTAACCGAGGATCTTCAGCAAGACGTTCTGACTTATGCATGGCAACAATACTAAGTCGCATTACGAGGGATTTCACGAATAACTGGACACCATGAGCCAGACAGGCAGCCGCCTCATCCGTGATAGGCAGGTTGGCTTGTGATAAAAAAGATCGAACTTTAGACAGGGGAAAAAATGGAAGATCATTCATTTGGGAAGAGTCTCCGACTGAATCACCGACACTAGAAGTGAGAATTTTGACGTCATCATGTCCAGATGACAGATCAATTTCATCTTCGATAACGGGTTTAACAACAGAAGGTAAAAGTCTATTCCTCATTATCGCCGCTGAAAGAGAACATGCGATCGATCCAGTTGAATGTGGCAGAATTTTATTAGAAGAAACAAGGCTCTGTTTGCCAGCAAGGGCAGGTGAAGTAAATGGTGCAACAACAGGGGCCATCCGAGGAGCAAGAGCCCGAACTCCTGATGAAAGTGCAGAAAGCCCTTGAGCGTTAGCTGAAGTTGAAATAGATGTGTTTGCCCTAATAGTCGTCAAGGTAGTTACAGGCAGAGACATAACAGTCGAGATATCCCCAAGAGGTGAGGTAGATGATTGAGCCAATCGAATCTTTTGACCGACAAGCTGTGCTGATTGGAGAGGAGAGATTGAAGTTGCAGTCATTCTGGGAGGAGCAGGTGCAAGCGCTGGCTGTACAAATCGAGCACCGGGAGTAGAAATAGTTTGAGTCGCTGTCATTCCAAGGGCGCCTGGAGCTAAGCTAGCTTGAGTTATCATCCCAGATGCGGTGACAGGAAGAGGAGCCATCATGGCTGGACCGACAAGACGCGGCTGTCCACCTGCTGAAGCATTTGGACTACGAATAACCCCGGTAGGGAACATTCCTGGCCTGAATTGGATTGCAGCTACGGAAGCTGAGGAAACGATGGGACCACGGACACCAGCAGTAGTTGTGGCTACCGTAGACAGAATGTTTGGATCGCTTATCACAACCTTAGGAGGAGGATGAATGTTGGGAAGCCGAAGGTTACCAAAGCTCATATCCAATCTCAGGAACTCTATATTTTCCTGAATGAAAGAACCAAGATCCATGCTATTGTTTTCGCTTTTTAGGTTAGCCTTTAGCTGGGTGCAGAAGGTCTCGCAGCCTATTTCGCTGTTCTAAAAAAAGAAATCAAATGTTAGGCGAATGAGATACCAACAAGTTTAAAATAGAGAAAAAGTTAATAAGAAATCGAAATTGATTCCTTCATAAATTATCAGAACAAATAACTTTGAT